ATTTGCCTATTGTGTGTGACTAGTAAGTGTCAGAGGCACAATTCTACATGAATCTTACTGGCTTGAGTGCCTTCCTCTCAAAAATGACCTTGCATTTATTTCATATATATGTATGTACTGTCTCCCCTTATAGAATGTATGCGCCTGATGCATATTGTCTTTGTACCCTCTGTGTGACCTTGGGCAATCAATCAATCAACATGCATTTATTAAATACCTACTGTGTGCCAGGCTTGGGCAATACAAAGACACAAATAAAAGTGTCTGCCCTCAAGGAGCTTATCAAGGGAGAAGATATATATACATATACACACACATACACAAGTCAGCACATGCAACATCTGTGTGACCTAGAAGTTCAAATCCTGCCTGGGCTACTTATCTGCTACTTTGGGCAAGTCATTTCCTCCCTCTGGGTCTCAGTTTCCTCATCTATAAGATGGGAATAATAGCACATACTTCCTAAGGTTGTTGTAAGGATAAAATGAGATAATATAGTTGTAAAGTGTGTTGCTAACCTCAAAGTGCAAAATGCTAGTTATTATTATTTCTTGTTACTGCAACTACTATCGATGGTGATATGAGGGAGTTGTAAGAGATAGATGAGGCATTACTCTTTTCGGTGCCGTGGACCGCTTTAGCCAGTCAGTCTGATGAAGCCTATAGATTCTTCTCAGAACAATGTTATTCAAACATAAAATAAAAGACATAAGACAATGGAAACTAGATATATTGAAACATGGTTATTAAAATGTTTTAAATTCATTGCCCACAGCTTAAGAATCCTTGGATTAACTGATCCCTAAGGCCCCTCCTTGCTCTAAATTCTAAGAACCTCCAGCTGGGACAACCCCTCTGACCAACTTGGGGTTTGGAAGCTACATTAGAGATATGGGCTGATCCCTTTGCCTTATTTGCCAGGCTGATCTCAAAATGCTTTTTGGTTGTTTCTGAAGGTCACTTTCACCTTCATAAAATAGAGATGTTTGGGATTAGATTAGGACAAAGAGTTGCCACCATCAGTGAGGAAGCATGTGTCATGGACTTGGACTTCAAGTAAGGGAAGCATCCTCGGATTAAGCAATTGGAGAAACCCAATGGGAGGGGAGAACACTCATTTGGGTGGATACCTTCTGGTCTGTTTGCTCAAAAGAAGAAGTCAGTTTTCTTACTTAGAAGTCACACCTCGTCTATCTCATTCCCAAATTCTCTCACCATCTGTAGACAGGGTAGAGTTTGCACCATGTCTCATAATATCTGCTTGACTATAGCCACAGCCAAAGATAGAGTGCCATGAGAAGAGGTAACCATGTGGCCAGGGGGGTGGGGGTGGGGCGGCGATGCCAGGGCGGGGCGGGGGGGGGGTGGAGAAGGAGAAGAAACACAAAACTTTTACTTTATAGGAGACAGCATAGTCTGCCTTTGGGTGGTGACAGTAAGAAAGGGAATGTAAGAAAAGAAATGAGGAATTCCTAGAGGCATAGGAAGACATTTAAACCAAAGCAGAGCAAAGAAAGCAGAATCAAGAGACAGTATACACAAGTGCTACAATCATATAAATTAAGACAACCGGAAAAAAGTAGAGCATTAAGATCAAATGCAATGCTCAATATTGATTTCAGATGCCTGAGAAAAAACACATTTCTTTTTGTTGAGAGGTGCTGCATGAAGGTGCCAAGTATCATATGATGTGCATACAGGGTTTTGCAACTATTTTTATCACAACAGTAATATCAGAGGAAAACAGATGCTGAGCTGGGAGAGATCCCAGAGGCCATCTAGTCAGCCTCCTCATTTTACAGAGGAGGAAACTGAGGCCCAGGGAGATTCATAGATTATAGATCTAGAGCCAGAAGGGGCTTCAAATGTCATCAAGTCAAACCCCCTTATTTTACAGATGAGGAAGCCAACACTCAGAGAGGGTTTGTGGGACTATAGATGCAGAGGTAAACCCCCTCATTTTCCAGATGAGGAGACTAAGTGTCTTGTCAGTTACATACAGCTGTCACTCACAATTGGTGTATGGGAGAGTTTTGCTTAATTTTGTTGTTGTTAGATGGGAAGAAAAAATGGGGAAGCAGGATATTGATATTCAAACAAATGATTGTATTGTTTGAAACTAATGAAATTAATCAAATAGTTCTTAAGAAGAGATGGTAGAATTCCTGGGTTGTTAGTCCATTCCCATCTCTAATGACCCTTCTAGTCTGAAGGTAGAAACCATAGGTTACTGTTGGGAGGCTAGTGTTCCTGGGTTCTCCCCCTTCAAGGACTCTTCCTGCTTCCTTACCTCACCATAAGCAACCCCGTGTTAAGGCCTTTCAATTCTATATCCACAGCTCTCCCGTCCATGCAGCCAGCCGTCCCCCGACCCCCATATTCTCTCCATACTATAATAGCTTCCTAACTGATCCCTCTGCTTCCATTTTCTCCTCTCTCCAATCCATCCTCCAAACAGCTACCAAAATAACCTTCCTAAGGTACGAGTCTGACCATGTTGCTCCCCTGGCCAAAAACCTTCCCTGGTATTTATTGCCTCTCAGAGAAAAGACAAAATCATCAGCCTGTCATTTCAAAGGCTCCCAAATCTGTCCCTAATCTACCTTTCTCACATTATATTGCCTCGTTCCCCTTTACGCAACCTAAATTCTAGCCAAGCTGTAACACCAACTGCTGACCTGCTGTCTCTTGCCTCTAGGTATTTGGGCAGGCTGACAGTCCCCCATGGTGGAATGATCTTGCCCCTTCCTCATTTCTGCCCCTATAGATTCCTTATCTTTCTGATTCAAGGTTCAGCTGCAGTTCTTCAAAGCTTTTCCTGATCTCCATAACTGCTATTACCTGCTTCTTTCTCAAACTGCCATGTAGTCACTTAAAAAGTATCTCCCTTCATAACCCAATTCCATGATAGAATGTAAGTTCCTTGAGGACAGGGACTGATCTGCTTTTGTCTTAGTATTCCCAATGCTTATTTGGCATAGTGCCTGGCACATAAGATCACAGCTCTAGAGCTTGAAGGGACCCAGGAACTACCTAATCCAACCCTGTCATTTTACAGATAAGGAAACAGAGTTCCAAGGAAGTTAATTGACTTGCCTTAGGTCACATAGGCAGTAAGCATCAGAAGTGGGATCTGAACCTAGGTCTTCAGGCTTCAAAGTCAATGCTCTTTCCACTATACCACATGACGTCTCAGATAGTAGGTGCCTAGTACATGTTTGCTGAATTGAATTGAATTGAACCCTGTTGGTTCAAATATCACCAGTCTTAGCTGGGTTCCTAGCACAGCCATGGAGTAGATGATCAGGGATCTAGAAGAATCCCCCCCCCCACAACTCTAACACCACCTCCCCCCCTTGGTGGGACAGAAAAATGCTCTTTCAAGGACTAACATCTCTGTGACTATTTCCCACAGGTTCAGAAAACCTAGACTTAGGCTTTAAGGTTGCCAGGGACGTTGGCCCTATGATCCATGCTCCTGGGATCACTGATCCAGAGCTGAAAGGGATCTTTGAGGCCCTCTAGTCCAATTCCCTCTATTACAGATGAAGAACTGAGTCCATGAAGAAGTCACATGACTTGCCCAGGGTTACACAGCCAACAGGTGTCAGAGGTGGGATACAAAGAAAGCCAGGGCTTTCTTACCCAGGGGTCCAGTACTTTATTTTCCTGAGCTACCTTTCATCATGTCATGCTTCCTCTTGAGACATGCTGGAGAGAAGGCACATGAGCAGGAAGGGAAGGGCCAGGATGCCTAGCAGACTCCATCAGAAGTCCCAAATGCCCTGTGGGCAGGGAAAGGGGATTGAACACAGTTTCTGTGGTCAGTAAGTGCAGTAGGGGTGTCTCTACAAGTGAGGCTCTTCTGACCTTGGTGTCTCTACTCCTCCCAATTCCAATCTGGAGACATACTGACTTTTCCTTTGAATCACAGACTGTAAGTTTTGTGAAGGCAGGGACCGTTTTGCTTCTTACTATTGTATATCCTATAACAGGCACCTGATCAGACTTGTTGAATTGAATGCACTCAAGCTGAATTCCTGCTAGTTCACAGGACCATAGTATTACAGATTTAGAGCTTGAAGGGACCTCAACCCTCTCATTTTATAGAGGAGGAAACTGAGGCACGGGAAAGTTAGGTTACTGGACCAAGGTCAAACAGGTAGTAAGCCTCAGATGGAATTGACATGGGGGAGTCTAGCCCTGATGAGTATGCAACAAGACCTACAATTGGTTAAAGAGAAAACAATTGTCATCATTAGCAGGGGACCAGTTTCACATGAATCCAAACTTCAGAACATTTCCCACTGAGAGGCAATATTCCCATTCAGTGAAAACATTTGCTGGATCAGCTATCCCACTTAAAGGAACCTGTACCCCATTAAATTTGTGGCATTCAAGCTGGAAGAAACCCAGGGAAGAGTTTGTGAGGCCTCAGCCAGAGTGCCTGAGCCCTGATCTTAGACCAGGCTTACTGGCACATAGAGCCAGGCTCCAGAGTACTGGGATTGGAGGAGAAAGGTAAGGAAGTGAATAAAAGAGCAAAAGGAAAAGGAAGAGTAGGAGGAGAGGAGGGAGAGGAGAAAAAGGAGAAGGAAGATGAGGAGAAAAGAAGGGAAGGAAAAAGAAGAGAAAGAGGAGAGGAGGAAGAGGAAGAGGAGGGGAAAAGAAAAAGGAGGAGAAGGAAGAAGAGAAAAGGAAGGAAAAAGAAGAAGAGGAGGAGGGGGATAGTAAGAGGAAAAAAGGAGGAGGGGGAAGAAGAAGAGAAAAGAAGGGGAGGAAAAAGAAGAGGAGAGGAGGATGAAGAGGAAGAGGAAGAGGGGAAAAGGAGGAGGAAGAAGGGAAGGAAGAGGAAAAGGAAGAACAAAATGAAGAGAAGGAGGAAGAAGGGAAAGAGGGGAGAAGGAGGAAGAAGAGGAGAAGGATGGGGAAGGGGAGAAGGAGGAGGGGGAGAGCTGGGATCTCCCCATGCACTCTCAATGGCTGGTATCTGCCTTCACCTTGCTGTATTTCCTCAGGCTGCCTTTCCACCAGGAAAACTTGTGTCCATTTTCACTGAACCTGTCTTGAAGGCCGGCTTGCTGCTGTGTTCCTTGCTGGAGTCGAAGTTTTCCTTTTTATTGTTGCCAGAGTCTGAAATGGTCTGGAAATTGGTTTAAAAAAAAGGACACCAGACACCAAGGCATAGCTCAAAAATCCTGGTCTAGATTAGGGGCCAGGCAACTCCCATGCCCTGCTCCATGACTCCCTGTGGGCAAAGAGCTCCATTCTTTTCTCTGGGTGACTCACTGAATGGCTGGGCCCCCCCCGCTTCCTGATGAGCCCCAACTTCCCTCTGGAACATAAGCCCCAAAGCAGCCACACCACTGACTGAGCCCTTCTGGAAGCATCTTCCTCCTCCTCCTCCTCCTTCTCCTCCTCCTCAGGACTGGAGCCTCACTTTTCACAAGCACTTAAATTCATGAGAAAAAGGAAAAAGTGAAATCAGATAGAAATGCAGGTCTGTTTGCTGTTTTCTCCAATGAAATGGTTCTGGGTAAACAGCAGACGCCTTTGATGAAATCCCAGCAGGCTTAAACAATAAAGCTGGTTACAAACTCAATCTGGCGGAGATATCAGATCTGAAATTGTTTCAAAAAACATGTCAACATTTTCTAATGCTCCTGCAAAACTTTCTGGGCTTCCAGCCAAGAGGCCAAGGCCAGGATTCGGGTTCCTGGCCTGTCCCGGGCTTCCTGGGGGGGCTCCTTTGCCATAAGTACCAGAACCCTCTCTGGTGGGAGCACCCTGCCAGTCACAGAGCTCAGGGCTGGGCTGTGGGCTCCCAAACCATCCCAGGATACCCAAAGTCTCTGTGGACATCATAGGATCTTTGAACTAGAAGGTCCTCATTTAGTCCAACTCTCTCATCTTATAGATACGGAAACTGAGATCCAGGGTTGAAGGTCATATAGACAGCAAGTAACAAAGAACATAATTGAATCCAGATCCCCCCCCCCCCCCCCCCCCCCCCCCCCCCCCGCCAAGCTGGTGCTCCTTCCACTGGCTACATTGTTCCCAACCCCTGGAACCCAGGGCCAGGTGGTGTTTTTGAAATGAGGCCTCAGGTTGGGTTGCAGCCTCCTAGACCATTCTGGCCTTTTCTACTACAGATCCTAGGGCCTGGCCTTTCAGCTATGGAAGTGAAGAAAAGATTCACAGCCATCACCGAAATGACCTAGGCCAAGGCCTTCCAAAACAATGCGATCTTCCCTTGAAAGCCGGAGAGTAAAGGCTTGCTCTTCAGGGAGACAGTCCCAGCAGCCCCAGGGCCTTTGCCCTCCAGTTCCAAGGGACTCCCAGCTCTCCAGTAAACAACCACATTCCATGGCCTACATCCATCCAACCCCAGAGCCCTGGGTCCCAGCTCCCCTAGGTCCCCCCTCCCCTTGGACGGAGCCAATATGAGGGGAGGGCTTGGTGTGAGGATCTCATGGGGCCTAGCTAGCTCCCGAAGGCAGCTTGGTCGCTGCAGGGTGGGGATGTGCTGCAGTTTGGAGCAAACGGTCACTGGAGGCCCGAATGGCTACAACTGCACGATCAGACTGAAGAGATGCTTTTCTGCTTATTTCCCTCCTTCTCTTCCCACTTTCCCTGCCCCCTTTCTCTCCTGGGACCGCAGCTCACGTGTTCTCTCTGAGCAGAGAGGAGGGGTGCAGAGAGGATGGAGAAAAGAGAGCAGGGGGCTGGGCAGGGCCCAGACTGGAGGTGTTTTCTCTCTCTCTCTCTCTCTCTCTCTCTCTGTCTCTCTCTCTGTCTCTCTCTGTCTGTCTGTCTGTCTCTCTCTCTCTCCCTCTCTCTCTCTTTCTCTCTCTCTCTCTCTCTCTCTCCCTCTCTCTCTCTCTCTCTCTCTCCCTCCCTCTCTCTCTCTCTCTCTCTCTCTCCTCTCTCCTCTCTCTCTTCTCTCTCTCTCTCTCTCTCTCTCTCTCTCTCTCTCTCTCTCTCTCTCTCTCTCTCTCTCTCTCTCTCTCTCTCTCTCTCTCTCTCTCTCTCTCTCTCTCTCTCTCCTTTGTTGATGTTTTTCCTAATCTGTCTTTCTTTCTCATGCTGGGTTCTCTGACAAAACAAGGCCAAGATGGTGACCAAAGCAGACAGGGCCTCAGCGTGCTCTATGAGCTACCACCAAAGGGTCTAGGCTTCTCACCCCAAGACAGAGCAGTGGACCCAATTCGGTCCCTCCTACCCAACCAGGCCACTTGTTTGGGGAGAGGGGAAAGGAGTGGGGGGGGAGAGTACCCTCCTGTTTCATAATCTTTCTCCGAAGGTCCTCCAGATACTCCTCAAGGGTCTTCTGCTTTGTAGCTCTGCCCATTTCCAGGAACAGAGCCCATCAGAGCAGAACAGGCATCAGGGAAGCTAGGGAGAGGTACTGGGGGGTGGGAAGGTGATGGAGAAGGAGGCAGTAGTCAGTCACTGGAGGGATGGCCTGGGAAAGCCAGAGGGAGAAAAATGGAACACCCCCCCACCTACCAAATGGGCAGCGAGCAGGAGGGCAGCTGCAAGGCCTGGACAGCCTGGACCCCCTCAGCTGAGCGGCTCCTATCGATTCTCACTGTTGCCCACGGCCCCTTCCTCCCGAGGAGCTCGCTTGTTGGCTCAGGAGCCAGACGGCTGGGGAGAGGGGGGCAGGGCGGGGGAGAGCGGGCTCCTTGGCTCCCTGGACCGGATTAAATATTTACCATGTTTTGTTTTGCCTCCTTTCCCTCCTTTGGCCTGTCATATTGATCAGGGAGCTGTTGAGCAGAAGCCGGGGCAAGTTTCCACCTGGGACTGAGAGGAGAAGTGAGGAGGGTTGGGAGCCCACAGGGCTGGGCTGGGCAGGAAGGCGGGGAGGGGCTCCGAGCTGAGCGCCCCTGACGAGTTAGCCACCTGCAGACCGAAGGCCTGTTGAAGCTAGCCTCTCAGGAAGCTTGGGACCCCGGGGGAGCCAGCCTCCCCTCCCGGCTGTCCCGCTTCCCCCCAGCCCCCTGCCCCCCTCAACGAGCTAGAAGTCATCCTCAACGAGCCACTTTGCGACGCTGATAGGCTGGGTTAGCACCCTGCTTCGGCGAAGCCGACAGCTCCTTAACTCTGGCAAGGCTGCCACTACGGCTGTAGCCTTCGCCCCCAGCTCTGGCCCCGAGGGTGGTGCAAAGAGATCTGGCCAGGTGCTCAGGGCCCTGCGTCCTCGCAGGCCAGCTGGCCTCCTAGGGGGCCCTACCCAGCTCCAAGCAGAGCTAAGGGCTTCGGGGAGGGAGCCACCACCCCTCTCCTCGCCGGCCTCCCTGCCGGCCTCCCGGCCTCCCCGCCTCCCCTGCGCTCAGCTGCCAGTTGCCAGGATGGGCTGACCGAGCCCTCCCAGCGAGGTGGCCCTCTTTCCTCCCGCAGCCAAAAGGTCACCCCTGAACCCCACTCCCTGGCAGGTGCCCTCCTCCCCTGGACCCCTCCTGGTCCATGCCTGGTGTCCACACAGCTGCCTAGAGTGCACACACTAGCGCACGCAGCAGAGGCCGGTTTGCAGACGCTAGGGAAGGGAGGATTGTATGTAGCTAGCAGCAGCCCTGCTCCTATTTAAAGAGAGGCTTTGCTGGAAAAGCAACAAAAGCAGGAGCCAGCTATAAATAGCCTCTTCCCTCCCTCTCGCTTCTCCTGCCCTCCGGCCTTCTGCACTGTTCTCCTCCTGCCTCGGGCCCTGAGCTGCCTCTGGGCAGGGGACTGGGGAGGCGGGGTGGGCTGCCTCTTCGCCCCGCGGCCCAGGGACCGCCCCGTGCCCCCTGCGCTGGTGGGCCTACCTCTCCTGAGCTGGTGGGCTTCGGGGCCTAGTTGGGCTGCCTGGATCTCAGACGAGTTGGGGGTGGGGGCAACAGAGAGAGACTGGAGCAAAGCTGGATGGGAAGGGCAGGACCCGGGGTGGGCAGAGGCCTACAACCAGGCCAGTGGACTCTGATGGGGCTGGGCACGGAGCTCGGCCTTGGCGAGAGCTGCTGCTTAAGCATAGCTGCCTAGAAACACCCCAGGAGGCTGCAGCCCAGTTTCTCTCTGTAGGCAGCAGCCTGCATGCCCATAGGCCCCCACCCCTCTCCCAAAGGTAATCCTGGGTGTAGATTTGGAGTCAACAGAAGACTGGAGGAAGCCAGGCAAGGTGAAGCTTATAGCACCAGGCCTAGGGGAGCCCATCTAGGTCTGACTGAAGCAGTTAGTGGAAATGCACTGGGAGTCAGGACTCCTGGGTTCTCATGTAGGACCTGTCACTGAATGATTCTGGGCAAATCACTTACTCATCCTTGCCTCCTGTGTTAAATCCTGCTGTACTCAGCTGTGTGACCCATGTGCCAGTCAAAAATCTCAGGGTTCTTATCTGTTAAGTGGGGGAGGGGTGTGAGAATACTCAGACTGCCTCCTCTCCCAGGCTTGTGGTAGGATGAGGCCCACATAAACGTGGCCTGCTCGACCTTTCCAGGGGCAATACTATCTGGGCCTGAACTCACAGGATCATACACTAGGATCTGGAATAACCTTAGAGACACCTAGTCCATCCCCCTTCCTCGATGAAGTCAAGAAGACTTGCCTTCAAATCATCCCTCTGACATTTACTAGCTCTGAGACAGAGGGCAATTTCCTTAACCCCCGTCAGCCTCAGACATCTCCTTAGGCCTATAAATTGAAGATAGGCTGTGAAATCGTGTTAGTATTTCTAAGAGACTGTCCCTACTTGGAGACCTTTGGCCACTGGTGGGGGAAGGGAAGAGAAGATAACTCACATTTGTAGGGTGCTTTCTTGAGAATAGTCGTACAAGTATTCTTCCCATATTATAGAAGAGAAAACTGAGGCAGAGGGAAGTGACTTAGCTAGGGGTCACATTGTTACCAAGAGGCAGAGGTACAACCTCAGACTGCCCTACCCCAGGCCCAACATTCTTGTCACTACATTAGCTGAATTCTTATGAAGGTTTAGGGGGCCCTGAGCACCTACAGCTCATTCTTTGGGGGAATTCCCTACAGCTAATTGGTCAGAGAGCTGAGAAAGCTCTGTGCAGGGAAGGGGCTGAGCTGAGCTTTGTGTCTGAAGAAGCCTGCCCACCCCAAAGCAGCCTTGAACAGGCTCCCAGCATCCCAGCACATACACCAGCAGCAGAGGCCGGTTTGGGGCTGGTGGAAAAACGCCCCAGGAGAAGCATCCCTTCCCTCACCTTCTGCTGCTCAGGCTGTCCTGCTCTCTCCTCCCCTCCCTTCCCCTCCTCCTTCCTCCTGGCCTCCGCCTCTCCCAGAAGCTGCATTTCCCCCAGGTCCCTGACAGTCCCAAGGGGCCCCTCCCTAGACCTGGAAGAGGATCACTGGGTGGGGGAGAGCCTCATTCTGCTGGGGGGTGGGATGCTTAGGCAGACCTACTTTCACGGCTTTAATCCTTTTTTGCTTAAAGGATTTTTTTTTTGCTCAGCGAAGATGAGGTCTGATCAGAGGAGAGACACAGGGAGCTGACAAGCTGCGGAGGATGGGGGGGAAAGGGAGAAAGAAATACATATTTATTACCCTCAATTATTAAAAGATAGATAGAACCAGATCTTAGGTCCTGGCAGAGACTTAAGCAAAGCCATTCGTGTGAGGACTATTTTGTTGGTTTTTCCCCCTAATTCCATTGAAATTATAATGCGCCCAGCTTGTTAGCAAAAACACCCCCAATAAATTCCTAGGGGAAGACAAGGCTGCATCAGTAGCAGAGCTGAGTGAGGCTGCAAGTTAGGACCCTCTCCAAAGGTCAGCTAACTGGGAACCTGATGGGAAGGGGTAGGTAAGTAGGACCTAGCCTGGGATGCTCCAGACCTAAGATACCGAGGGAGGGCAGCACCCACCAGAGGGGCAAAAGGGCTGGCCTGGAGACAAGCCCAGGGAGGCCAGTACGGCCACTGCTTTGGTGTTTTCATTCCTCGGCTGCAAAGACCCTGCCCTCTGGCACGTGCTTCGGTCTATTTCTTTATCACACCCTCACTGTTCTCCTGGGTCGAAGCCTCAGCCAATAGCAGGCTGGCCCCATGTGTTGCTGCTCTTTTCAAGGAAGCCTAAAAGGAGAGATCAATTCCAGCACGCTCCTCAGCATGAAAGCCACAGTGGCAGAGGGGGCTTCTAGGCTGCCCCCTGGGACTGCACCAATGAGCCCTTATGGACAGTGAGGCTCGTCCTCCCTCCTTCCTCCTCTGGGGTTACAGTTACACAGCACAGCATAAGTAAGGTTAATAGAAGCTTGTGGTCAGGTTGCAGATGGAGTGAGCTGAGCTTAAATAATCTCTAAAAGGGCATGAGGCCTCCAACGACCGACCTGCGACCTGCGTAGGAGGAGCCAGGGAGGAAGAGCTGAGAATGGCCCACCCCCCCTCCTCCTGCCAGGATCCTGGGCCTGGGAGAAGCCCCACAGAAGCTTGTAAGCATAGAAAGGAAGGGTGAAGAGAACAGGAAGAAGAAGCCCAGAATCAGGGAAAGAAGGGCCCCAATTAGAGAGAAGGCAGTTCTCTGTGGGTGAAGCCCAAGCAAAGACTAGCATTCCAGGGATCATCCCTTTAGAGTCTGAAGGGGCCTTAGAGGTCATTTAGCCCAACCCCCTCATTTTACAGGGGCAGCTAGATGGCTCAGTGATGAACCTGGAGCAAAAAGACCTGAGTTCAAATCTGGCCTCAGATACACACACTAGCTGTGTGACCCTGGAGAAGTCACTTAACTCTGTTTACCTTAGTCCAGTAGAGAAGGAAATGGCAAATTGATCCAGTAACTTTGCCAAAAATATCTCCCATACAGTATGGTTCATGGGGTCACAAAAAGTAGGACACAACTCAACTATCACCTCATTTTACAAATGAGGAAACTGAGGTCAAGGAAGGGAAATAATGTGTCTGAAGTAACATGGCTAGTGTTATCTTTCTGTGGAACTTAAGTTATTTGTGTCTTCCTAGCCCTACCACCTAGCAGAGCGTTTGGCACATAGAAAGTCCTTAATAAATACTTCTTGGTTGATTTGTGCAGAATTTGAACCTGGGTCCTCTGCCTTCAGAGCAAATATTCTTTCTACTTTACTACAGGGGCTCTCATCCTAAATGATTAGTGTGGAAAGCCAGAGACTTTAAGAAATCATTTAGTCTAAACCCCTTATTTTACACAGGGGGAAACTGAGGCTCAGAGGGGGAGGTCATAGAGCAAGTTTGTGAGGGGTAGTAGCCAATCCAGTTTACTTTGTACCACACTAACTACTCTTTGGGGGGGAGGCAGTTGTACAAGCAGGGACCAGAGGCCCTGGGAGTAGCTCAGACAGAAAGGAAGCAAGTGCCCTGCCTTGCCTTGTTTCACTGAGTGGTTCTGTTTCCTGTTCCCATAAGTCACTGGCAACTGGCTGGAGGTCAGTGGATAGAGTTACACCTGCAAGCGGTAAGACCTGAGTTTGAATCTTAGGGCCTCACTTGGCTATTTCCCTCTCAGCCCCAATTTTCTTATTTGTAAAATAGGGATAATAATAGCACCTCCTCCCGGGGCTGTTGTGACTCTCAAATGAAAAAAAAAAACATAAAGCAAACCTTAAGGGGTAAATGCTAGCTGGTAGTCAGGAAGATTGAGATCCCTCTGGCTGGGGAGGTGGGAGAGGGGAGGGGCGGGAGTGGGGTTCCCATCATCTTTTCTTGAGAGCTAGACTCCCTGCTTCTGTGTAGACGAAATTGTGGGAGGCAGGGCAAGGAGCAGGTCCCAGGTGCATTAAATTGGGGTGGGATAGAGGCTAGATCGTCTGTTAAGAAAGGACACAGTGAGAGTGGGGAGAATGGGGCCAGAAACCAGCAGACCTCTCCCTCAGTCAATCTATCAGCGAGCATAAATAAATTAAGCACCTATTATGAGCTAAACACTAGAGATACAGGTAACAAAGAATGAAGCCTGGGAACAGTGGGCTTACATTCTAATTGGGGAAACAACAAAACTAAGGGCAAATATATACAGCATAAAAATATGTGCCTATCTATACACACAAAGCAGGTCTATGGGAGGGAGGGCACCAGTAAGTGGAAGGATTTTCTGCAGAAGAAGAAGAGGTGTGTCTTTTTTTTTTCCCTTAGTGAGGCAATTGGGGTTAAGTGACTTGCCCAAGATCACATAGCTAGTAAGTGTCAAGTGGTTGGTCTGATGCAGGATTTGAACTCAGGTCCTCCTGACTTCAGGGCCAGTGCTCTATCCACTGTGCCACCTAGCTACCCAGAAGAGGTGTGTCTTAAAGGAAGAGAGGAAACCTACTAGGGAGAGCTAAGGAGAAGTGCTTTCTGGCACTTCAAAGTAGCCTTCAGTTAGGAGTAGAGGCAGGGGTGTGCTGCTAAATGTTTAACAGTCGGCTCTCTGAGGAAAAAAATGTTCACATTAAGTTGAAATTTCATTATTAACATTTTCTCCATGACTTTCTTAATTTGAGATAATCAACAAAAATAACAAATCAAACTTAGATTTGTAGCTTTTGTGGGTTTCCCAGGTGTAAAGACTAATTCTGAAATTTAATAATCGGCTCACCAGTAACGGCAGCTGCTCCTGCAAACCCTGTTTAGTGCATCTAGCATGCACCTGTGTGTACATACTGTGCCTGAAGGTTTATGGGGGTAGAAGCATAAAGAGGAGGGAAAGAATATTCTTAGAGACCACAGCCCAAAGAACAAACTCCAGGTCTTTGCTAGGGGGAGGGGAGGAGAGGCCCTCTGATACTGCTCAAGGAAACTAAGAGTTACCAGGGACAAAGCAAGGTGATCGGGGAGCAGTAGATGCTAACCTGAACCCTCTCCTGGACCCTCGGATATGTCAAGCATTCACATACATAGATGCAAATTCTAGTACTACCTGAGTGACCTTGGGCAAGTCACTTAGCAGAGCTAGATCTCAGTTTCTTCAACTGTTAAAATGGTGATGATAATACTCCTTCCTCCCTCCCCTCCCAAGTATGGTGTAGAGGATAGAGTTCTAGAATTGGCATCAAGGAAGTCTAGAGTTCAAATTCTGCCCAAGAAACTTTACAATCAGTGTATCCTTGGGTAAGTCACTCACTCTGAGCCTTAGTCTCCTTGTCTGCAAAATGGGAATTACAGTACCTGACCTCACAGGGCTGTTGTGAAGATCAGACAAGCTAATGTATGTCAAGAGCTTCATAACTCTTAAAGAGCTATACAAATGTCAGTTATTATTATCACCATTCCTTCCTCCATCTCCCTGAAAGGGGAGGGGGGAAGGGTGAGTGGATTCAGGGTTGGCAAAGGGCCAAACCTCACTGAGTGCAGATGCCCTGGGTAAGGAGATAAATCATGAGAGTGGATAGTCAGGAAACGAACTAAAAAG